ACCCATTGGTAGAGAGAACGTGAAGGTTATGTGAGGATCAGAACCTCCCACTGACTTATTAATGATTTCCAGCTCCATCTCTACAGGAGACCCAAGGCAGCCGGCAGTGTTACTGCACTGACTGCAGACCAGGGACCGGGAAATCAGCTCCTGCTGAAACTGTGGATTGAAACCATTTGTCCACTTTTAAATGTCTTCAACTTCCTGTTTTCCTCTCTCTCTGGTCACAACTCTTAGCTGCTAGAGCTAATCTCACAATGAGCACCTTCAAAAACACTTTAAAAACACTTGCCAAAAGAACATTTGCTTGCTCCAACACCCATTTGTAACTCCCATGATACATGCTTCACTTCTCTAACACTTCAATCCCCATTCACTTCCCACTTTGCCCTTTTCCTTTTGCAGGTAGCACTCAGAATTCAGGTACAGTCATTTGAAAAGAATGTGGGCTTTCAAATTCAACATCAGTTCTAATCCTGACTCTGCAACTTCCTAGCTGTGTGGCTTTGGGCAGGTAATCAAGCCTCTCTAAACCTCCATTTCCTCATCTGTAAAATGAAGATGATGGTGGTAGCTCTTCTGCAGGGATGGTATGAGAGTTATTTGAGCTAAGCTGATTTCCTTTCCCTCCTCCTCAGAACAAGCAGCTCATGAACTGTACCCAGCCTGACAACTTCCTCAGTAGGAGAGCAATATGACAGAATACTAGTCTTCACTCACAGAGCCAGGCGTCCTGACCCTGAAGTCCGGTCATGGTTAAAGGTAACTTTGATGAGGTAGGGGCAAAAAAAATGTTCACGGGAGACTAGAGACCATGTCTGAGTGACAAGTGAAATACAAAGAAGGAAAGCAAGACTCATTTCCAACAAGCTGAAGAAAATAAGCCACGAGTGGGGACAACAGTAGCCAGGACTAAAATGTGGTCAAGGTTAAGCAAGAAGCAAAGGGAAACATCTCAGCAAGTGCTGCTCATGGGAAGTGATCTGTGTTGCTTTCTAAAATTTGAAATCACCTCCCAAAATCAGTTCCCTACAATTCCTCCCAGAGAGAGACAGCCTCCTCTTTTGGTTCAAATAGATAATATCACATCATGCGACTAATATCATGTTTTTAAAACAGTGTTGGTTTCTATGGTAACCTGATTGTGTATGATAAAAAGAGCACGTATCGTTTCACTGGGTGGTTACCTGACTTCCAGCAGAATTTCAACGCTTTCTCAGCATAGTGCAGGCATTGCTGACAGGCTCCTGGAAGAGGTTTGCTTTGGGTTTTTCTCCACAGCATCCTTCTGTAGGATTGCTGAGGACAGGCTGTCTCCTGAGAAACTCGGGCTAGTACCCTGGAAGGTTAAGGGGGAGACAGGAAAGGTGGAGCCCAAGCTACCATCAGTGATAATGGTCACATCGAGGCAGTAACAGAGCAGCTGGGTGGAGGTGGAAAGAAAAGCAGGTTTCCTGGGGGCAGCCTGGAGTGGTGGCAGTGACGCCCCAGAGGCAGCCTGGGAAGGACAGCCTCCGGGGCAAGAAGGTTCACAGGGCCACCCACTGCAGCCTTGGTATGAAACCTGCCTCAGACCTGTCTAGTGACCTGCTTCTCAGCCAGGTTCAAATCCTGCCCACTTTGTGAACCTGAACAAGTTTCCTCATGTCTCTGAGCCGTGGTTTCTTCTAAAATGTGAAAATAATTTCCCAGGTCCCTTCTCCAGTCCTAATCATCTGTGATGGTAGAACCCTGAGTTAGATTGGGAATTCTGAAAGTGTGATCCAAAGACTCACTGGAGAATTAATCCCCAGGCCCTGCCTCTGATGTTATACATGAGAAGCTTGGCGTCTGGAACACCTCAATCTCCCTTTTCTCCAAATGCTCCAGATAATTACTGTTCATGATAACGTAAGAACAACTACAGCAGAGCACACTCACGAAAGTGATGCCCTCCAAGAAGGGACTGAATGTCAGGCTCCTTGCCATTTAGACAGAATGGGTCGAACTCTCCTAAGAGAATCGTTTAGAAGATTAACAGCTGCCTCCTTTGTCGGACCCATTAGGCACCAGCGCCTGGGAGAAGGGACAGGAGATTGTACTAGAATCGAAACAGCAGCCAGAGTCTCAGGTTCTTCCACCCAGAAACTTCTGGAGAGGGGTCTCTAGCATGTGTTTTATTCACACCACATTAGAGGGACCAAGTTTCCTGCTGATAGTGTTGTCAGATCAAATACACAAGACATCCTTTTGTGGATTTTGTTTTTTTGGCTGAACCTGGCAAAACTACCTAAAACCCCTATCCCGGTCTATAGGCAATGACAAATGAGAAAAAAACGTCTAAAATAAAACAAGACTTCTCAGGCACCTGAGTCGTGGTTCTAACCAGGTGCAGAAATAAGGCAATAGGAACAACTTTACAGAGAAAGCCATTTCTCTTTTGCTTTGAGATCTCCTAATGCAATAACTTCAATTTATAAATTCTTAAACTTCTTGACTGGCTTTGCTCCAGTCAACAGCATGATGACATCACCATTTTCCAAGTTCAGTCCAAAGTAAATTAAGTGGATATCAACTGTGGAGATGGAAGAAGGCTCAGACTCAGTATAAAAACATAGTCACTTTTAGCAACAACCTACAGTTCAAAAAAGAGAGAGTAACAATGAGAATTTGTTCCTTTCCCCCTCCTCAAAAAAATAAAAAAAGATTGAAGACTGGGTTGAGGTAAAAGTAGAATGTGGGGGGCGTAACAGCCAGCTGGAGTTTGCATTCCAAAGTCTTCAAAGTTTAAGCCAAGAGACAGACAGACCTACACATGGGCCTGTTGGTCAAAGGGGAAAGAGATTAGGCTGAGGCCATCTAAGAAAACACAGCCAGATTTTGTATAGAAGACAGTTGTCCTTCCCATAGTCCTGGATGTCCTGGCTCCCCAACTCTTCAGTGCAATTATTTGAGCATCTACTGTGTGCCTAAAGCTGTGATGACTCCAGTTTGGGAGAAGTTCCCACTCAAGTTATGGAGAAAAGACACCCACATTTGAAATTATTAGAGATGAAACCAAGTATAGCTGTGAAACAGAAGGAGAAATTCATGTGGGCTTGAAGTGTCAGGAATCTGATGGTGGAGGCAAGGCAGAGTTTGAGATGAGTCTTGATGTATGCGAAAATGAGGGATAAAGATATTTAGGGGTGTGAAATAGGAAACGGGGAGTAGAAGATATGGAGTACCATGTTGGAAGAAGGGAGATGAGCAGAGGTATGTGCTGAGAACTGGTGGGAAGTGAGGCTGGCCCAGGGAGCCCCTGACAGCTCTACCCTGCTCCCCTCTTCATTCCCATTCCTACATGAGACCAGCGGCTCCAGGGAGAAGGGTTACAGTGTCCAAACTCCCTCTCCTAAGTGGGGGCCAAGCCCTATTTAGATTAGTGGAGTCTTGAAGCTTCCCCAGGACTCTGATCCCTGGGGAGACAGTGATGAAGGCTGAAACGCCATGAAACAGCTGGTCCTCCAGCTTGGGGGCAATAGCCCTCTCTGAGTAGTGCAGGCAAAAGATCTATCCTCCTAAGCCAAGTGGGGATTAGAAGAGGCTTTCATCTGGTGTCCAGATGCCCCCCTATTTGCTTTCTCCCTTTTCAGTGGAGACCTGAATCACAGATTTTCTTGCCCATTTCTTCTGCCATAGGGGAAACTTTTTTGAGCTAAGAGGTATTTTATTTTTTTCCAGATTGAAACTGAGTGAAGAGAGCCATGATTAACTCAATGAATACTAGTGGTAGAATTTCAGGTAACAGTAGAGGAGATACTAAGTTTATGTAAACTACTACATTGTCTTACAGTGTCTGAAAGATACCTCAGAGGTCCCTTGCCTAAGGCCCTCCCTGTCTTTCAGATCTGTCATCAATCATGGAAAAGGATGGTCTCTCTAAAGACATTTGAAGGAGTAGAATGGTATCAGGCTGCACATGGGGCTCCTAAACTCTTCTTTCTTCATGGCTTCCAACCAAAGGCCAAAGGAGCAAGAGGTACAGCCTTTCACATAGTAGGAGCTTGTTCTAAGTCATTGCTATTGCTGCATTTTGAAAGTCGTATTCATTTTTATTTAACAGATTTTCATGGAATGCTGACTATGTGCTATCTCATTTGCCTGTTAGCACTTGCGGGGGTTGGGGGGAAGGTAAAAAAAGAGACAGAGCGATAGTGAGCAAGGAAGAGGGGAGAGCTGCCTGTGCAGTGATGCCCAATCCTGGCAGGTATGAGAAGCCCTGGGGGGCTTTGTTGGAAGAGCAAACTACTGGCCCCATCACCCAAAGACTCTGATTCAGTGCATCTGAGTTTAAGCACTTGAATCAGTGTTTTTAGTAAGTGACTCTGTCGATTCAGTTACAGGTGGTCCCTGGCCATACTGAGACAATAACAGAATGTGGAGGTCAAGAATCAGAAACCTTGAGGGGAAACCAGGCAGGCTGAGGCTACACACTGGTTAACCAAGAATCACAGAGGGCTCAGTGGGCCAGGCCCATGCCTGCCTGCCGAGAGCAACACAGGTGTATGTCCCCATGTTTGTGAAATAGTCCGTTTGGAAGCCACAAGGAAGAACTCCATGTGCCGTGGAAATAGATTATATGGCTGCAAACAACACAGTTAACAACACAGGAATTACCATGACAACTGCAGTCTCTACCCGTTGAGCTGAGAAAGATGTGGGGAAGAGAGAGGAGGTGAGGAACCTATGCTAAAGAGTGTGCTGTGTGACATAAAGGACTGCCCTATCTGGACTAACCCTCATTCCATCTCAAACAGCTGTGAAGAATGCACAAGGAGAGAGGAACAATTCCTTCCCAGAATGTCCTGCAGGTAATGGCTGGTGGACAGCTGATTATGAAGCATTATTTTTCCTCTGGGTTTTTTTCTGTTTGTTCTCAGTATTTCTAATGTTGGAGACTCTATCAACAGCCAAATGAATGAAGTGAAAACAAAAACACAATACTCAGACACAAGGAAGATAAAAGATAATTCTGGAAAACAACCACTACAGATTTTTATTTAATTAAAAATATTATACATGTTGTTGCATTTTCATGGAAAATATTGAGTTAAAAAACACCAACAGTGTTAGTTTTCAGAAACCTTCATTACCCCATTCTGCCACCTGCTGCTTTTTCTGTCCATGGCATTAACTATGCTTAAGGAATCAGGGACCCCATGGACTGAGATCCCTTGAAGTTCATACCTACATGACTCCTGAAATGAGTCACTTCTTGACAATGGTGTTCTATCCAGTTAATTCAGATGCCACCAACTTTGGCTTCCTTGCACACCATTGAAAGGAGCCAGCATAAAAGTCCAAACACATGTCAACACCAATTCAGCCCAATGTGTCTGCAAGAATAGGTTATGGCCTCATTCCAGCTTCCAAGCTGGTTAGCAAGTGACCTTATATTCTCCCTGGTGTATTAGTGTCCTGAGTCCCTCCACAGAACTTTCCCAGAACCCATGGTGGGAAGACACTGCCATATAGTGTTTATATTCAAACCATCAGCAAATACACAAAAGCACATGTGACCCCCATGCACAATACTATCAGATAAAAAATGTATATTGGTACAATACAACTTTTGGTATCACTGGCTAAAATATAGCCACATGAGTATTTGTGAAGTCCTCTTATAATTATTTGTTAAGAAAAATAACACGGCATAAAAATTTAACTTGAAAACATCATTTCAGCTACACACGTCTCGTGTGAACACAAGGTGTGTGCAGTAGGTCCTCTCCCTTCCTTTGCTGCTTCTGCTAGACCATTCCCTAACACATCCTTGATCCCATGATCCCACATCGTAATGCTACATCCCCATATTGCTCCCAAGTGATGCTTTTACTAAAACTGGGTCTGATGCGACAGAAACATCCTGGCTCTGTTTCTAACTCCTTTGTTTTAAATTGTAGTACATTTAATTTGGCTTTGGCATCCAGTTTAGTATTAAAGAGAGATGAATCCTCCCAAAATACACAAATAAATGAAAACAGCTGGAATAGCAAAAAGTCAGAATTGCTTCAGCTCTTGGAAGCTGGAAAGTGTTCTTTCTTCTTTATAAGGGCGTCTCAATTGATGGGAATAAAGTAAGGCTGAAATTGCTTTTCACATTCTGGCTCTGTTGGAGGCATTTTCACATAGACCCCTGTGGTAAGAGGGCTTCTTTTCTTTAACTGCCAAACACAAAAAGGAACAGTAATTATTATTGAGGAATACAGAAACCATTTCTAATCATATAGGACTCAACTAATATTTGGTTCCTACCCTACAGAAAAATGGTGGTTCACAACATACAGAATTGTAAGTTCCAGGAGATTTTCCTGATTCACCTATTATGATTCATATTAGATAAATAACTATGCTAGTGATATAAAATAGCAATCATTTTCCCTGACAGGAAAATTGGAGAAAAAGACTTTGAGAAAGCATTTGAAGAACGCCCAAAATGCCTGTGATAATTGACTGGCTCTTGTCTGTGAGGGGACAAGCTTGATAAGATGATAAACCTTAGTTATTCTGTGTGAGAGTTGTATTTCCCTCTCATCTCCACTCCTCATACATTTTTATTACTTTTTCTCTGTCTGCATTAGTTCCCAGTTTTTATCACCTCAGTAAATGGAGGCCTTGACTACTAGTCTGTGTGGTCATTTGTAATGAATGAGGTAGGAAGATGCCACAGAAACAGAGCAGGTTGAGTAGAGGATTTCAGAATAGAGTATGCGTGCGTGTGTGAGTGCGTAAGACAGGGCAGAGGAGAGGGAGAGACTGAAGGAGAAAGAGGGAGGGGGAAGCAGGGAGGTGAGGAGAAAAGGGGGCGGGGAGGGAGCAGCTTGTGATGACACAGCCAGGCAGAGGCGGCTGAAAGGACTGTCAGAAGGAAATCCTGACAGGAAGCCTGATGGCAAGCCTCCCTCTCTTCCCCCGGCAACTGCAGGAAATACATTGGGATTCTCATTCACTGGGCTGGAGGGGAGGCCAGGACTTCCCACTGAAGTAGACTGAGTGGGTGCCCAGGGAGCCCCGTATGGGTGTTCTATGGACAGCTACAGCTTGGACAAGGCAGGCACAAATGGGATGGCACCAAGAGGTGGCATCCATGTGAAGCAGAGGGACATTAATGGGGAGACTAAAAGCCACCCAGGTGGTCCTCTCTAGCATTTTGTCCCACCTAATCTTGTGTTTCAGGGTTAAGTATAATTTTCTTGATGATAAAGAGCAAAACAGCTGCCCTATGGTGTTCAAATGGTTACTCAAACTGAAACCCTGTTCAGAAGCACAAAAACATTCAAACACAGTATCTAAGATATTAGTCATCCCGAAACCTCAAAGGCCAATGCCAAGGGTTCTAGTGTGTCTTTACCACTGTCCTTCCTCTTCTGCATTTATTGCTCCATCTCAAGAAAACTGAACTAAACAGCATCCTTCGGTCAGTTATCATCATTAACGTATCCCCACCAGGACTGTGCGTCATCAGCATTGTGCTCACCATTCTACTCAAGGAAACAGCTGTGATGAGGAAGCTGTAGAAAAACAGTCCTGAGCTGACTGCTGCAAGGACCCAGAGGAGGAAGTCAGAATCTGGGCACGGCTCTGGATCTGCAACGAAACGCAAAGCAGAGTTTCCTTGAGACACCCTTTAAAATATGGGGCTACTGCCCGCCAGTGGAAAAAAGAAGTTCGAGCCGCAGACCTTGAGGTCCACCCCTACCTAGTCCTGCCAGCCCGTGGGTGAGTCCAGCTATCAGGGCCAAGGAGTGTTATAACAAAGGCCCAAGGCCGAACTCCACAATGGCTATCACTGCAGAGTGAGTGCCCCAGCCTGCAGGCAGAAAAAACTCCTTCCCCAACCCATTTTATTGTATAGTCAGAAAGCTGTTTGGATCGTTGCTCATACTAAGTAAGCAGAACTACCATGAGATATGCCAGAGAACTCGTAAAGAGAATTTCCATAACCCTAAAAATGAACCTCCTGAAATTTAAGACAAAAACAGTTTTCACGCAAAGAAGACAGGAATGCTGAAGGTGTCAGCTTAGTGATATGGCTCTGCTTACCAATGACGTAAATCTGGGTTCCATTGCCCATGCCTGCATAGTAGGGTGGTGGGTACATGAGCTCCACTTTGCAGATGTAGAGCCCTGTGTCTATGGCCCTCAGCCCTTGGATGGTGAGGTTCACTTTGTTTCCACTGGAAGTGCCAGTGCAGGCGGAGTCATCCAGGAAGGCCAACTCATTGTACACTGTGTATGTCGCAGCGCAGACTTCAGTCACCTTGCTGCCAGCCTGCCGCAGAACTGACACCCGGACCTCGGCGGCTTTGCCTGAAGGCCCATACTCACACACAAAGCTGGCGATGCCTCGGCTGCTGGCCAGCACCACTGCAGGCTGGGACACGTGCATGCCTAGTAGGGGAAAGCCAAAGGGGGCTCAGTGAACTCAGTCACCCGCAGCCAGGCCACGGCCAAACCAGGGGCCAGGGAAGGTTTAGCTTGGATGGGCAGCCTTCAGCTCCACCTGCCAGGCCTTCTCTGCCCTTTAACAAACCCATCGCCCACCCCTCTCCCTCCCCTGCTCCACCCACCCCAGCTTCCCCTCCATCTCTCACTGTCCTGCAGTTACTCTCCATAAAGGAGGTGCCTTACTGGAAAATGCTTTCTTGAAAGCAGTTGTCTGGGGCTGGAGAGCATTGATGTGACAAACTGAAGGCCTTCTCCCAAGTGATGCTTTTACTAAAACTGGGTCTGATGCGACAGAAACATCCTGGCTCTGTTTCTAACTCCTTTGTTTTAAATTGTAGTACATTTAATTTGGCTTTGGCATCCAGTTTAGTATTAAAGAGAGATGAATCCTCCCAAAATACACAAATAAATGAAAACAGCTGGAATAGCAAAAAGTCAGAATTGCTTCAGCTCTTGGAAGCTGGAAAGTGTTCTTTCTTCTTTATAAGGGCGTCTCAATTGATGGGAATAAAGTAAGGCTGAAATTGCTTTTCACATTCTGGCTCTGTTGGAGGCATTTTCACATAGACCCCTGTGGTAAGAGGGCTTCTTTTCTTTAACTGCCAAACACAAAAAGGAACAGTAATTATTATTGAGGAATACAGAAACCATTTCTAATCATAATAGGACTCAACTAATATTTGGTTCCTACCCTACAGAAAAATGGTGGTTCACAACATACAGAATTGTAAGTTCCAGGAGATTTTCCTGATTCACCTATTATGATTCATATTAGATAAATAACTATGCTAGTGATATAAAATAGCAATCATTTTCCCTGACAGGAAAATTGGAGAAAAAGACTTTGAGAAAGCATTTGAAGAACGCCCAAAATGCCTGTGATAATTGACTGGCTCTTGTCTGTGAGGGGACAAGCTTGATAAGATGATAAACCTTAGTTATTCTGTGTGAGAGTTGTATTTCCCTCTCATCTCCACTCCTCATACATTTTTATTACTTTTTCTCTGTCTGCATTAGTTCCCAGTTTTTATCACCTCAGTAAATGGAGGCCTTGACTACTAGTCTGTGTGGTCATTTGTAATGAATGAGGTAGGAAGATGCCACAGAAACAGAGCAGGTTGAGTAGAGGATTTCAGAATAGAGTATGCGTGCGTGTGTGAGTGCGTAAGACAGGGCAGAGGAGAGGGAGAGACTGAAGGAGAAAGAGGGAGGGGGAAGCAGGGAGGTGAGGAGAAAAGGGGGCGGGGAGGGAGCAGCTTGTGATGACACAGCCAGGCAGAGGCGGCTGAAAGGACTGTCAGAAGGAAATCCTGACAGGAAGCCTGATGGCAAGCCTCCCTCTCTTCCCCCGGCAACTGCAGGAAATACATTGGGATTCTCATTCACTGGGCTGGAGGGGAGGCCAGGACTTCCCACTGAAGTAGACTGAGTGGGTGCCCAGGGAGCCCCGTATGGGTGTTCTATGGACAGCTACAGCTTGGACAAGGCAGGCACAAATGGGATGGCACCAAGAGGTGGCATCCATGTGAAGCAGAGGGACATTAATGGGGAGACTAAAAGCCACCCAGGTGGTCCTCTCTAGCATTTTGTCCCACCTAATCTTGTGTTTCAGGGTTAAGTATAATTTTCTTGATGATAAAGAGCAAAACAGCTGCCCTATGGTGTTCAAATGGTTACTCAAACTGAAACCCTGTTCAGAAGCACAAAAACATTCAAACACAGTATCTAAGATATTAGTCATCCCGAAACCTCAAAGGCCAATGCCAAGGGTTCTAGTGTGTCTTTACCACTGTCCTTCCTCTTCTGCATTTATTGCTCCATCTCAAGAAAACTGAACTAAACAGCATCCTTCGGTCAGTTATCATCATTAACGTATCCCCACCAGGACTGTGCGTCATCAGCATTGTGCTCACCATTCTACTCAAGGAAACAGCTGTGATGAGGAAGCTGTAGAAAAACAGTCCTGAGCTGACTGCTGCAAGGACCCAGAGGAGGAAGTCAGAATCTGGGCACGGCTCTGGATCTGCAACGAAACGCAAAGCAGAGTTTCCTTGAGACACCCTTTAAAATATGGGGCTACTGCCCGCCAGTGGAAAAAAGAAGTTCGAGCCGCAGACCTTGAGGTCCACCCCTACCTAGTCCTGCCAGCCCGTGGGTGAGTCCAGCTATCAGGGCCAAGGAGTGTTATAACAAAGGCCCAAGGCCGAACTCCACAATGGCTATCACTGCAGAGTGAGTGCCCCAGCCTGCAGGCAGAAAAAACTCCTTCCCCAACCCATTTTATTGTATAGTCAGAAAGCTGTTTGGATCGTTGCTCATACTAAGTAAGCAGAACTACCATGAGATATGCCAGAGAACTCGTAAAGAGAATTTCCATAACCCTAAAAATGAACCTCCTGAAATTTAAGACAAAAACAGTTTTCACGCAAAGAAGACAGGAATGCTGAAGGTGTCAGCTTAGTGATATGGCTCTGCTTACCAATGACGTAAATCTGGGTTCCATTGCCCATGCCTGCATAGTAGGGTGGTGGGTACATGAGCTCCACTTTGCAGATGTAGAGCCCTGTGTCTATGGCCCTCAGCCCTTGGATGGTGAGGTTCACTTTGTTTCCACTGGAAGTGCCAGTGCAGGCGGAGTCATCCAGGAAGGCCAACTCATTGTACACTGTGTATGTCGCAGCGCAGACTTCAGTCACCTTGCTGCCAGCCTGCCGCAGAACTGACACCCGGACCTCGGCGGCTTTGCCTGAAGGCCCATACTCACACACAAAGCTGGCGATGCCTCGGCTGCTGGCCAGCACCACTGCAGGCTGGGACACGTGCATGCCTAGTAGGGGAAAGCCAAAGGGGGCTCAGTGAACTCAGTCACCCGCAGCCAGGCCACGGCCAAACCAGGGGCCAGGGAAGGTTTAGCTTGGATGGGCAGCCTTCAGCTCCACCTGCCAGGCCTTCTCTGCCCTTTAACAAACCCATCGCCCACCCCTCTCCCTCCCCTGCTCCACCCACCCCAGCTTCCCCTCCATCTCTCACTGTCCTGCAGTTACTCTCCATAAAGGAGGTGCCTTACTGGAAAATGCTTTCTTGAAAGCAGTTGTCTGGGGCTGGAGAGCATTGATGTGACAAACTGAAGGCCTGGCTCTACCATGAAATATGTGGTTTGGGGCAAGTCGTGCCTCCCCAGTAGCCTTCATTCGCCTTCACATGCAGTGAGGGGTGGTGAGATCAGATGATATCAGCTGATATCAGAGGTACTAGAATATCTCTAGTATTCTAAGGTGCTAACGGAACTGTAGGAACTCTGGCTCAGGAACGATGATGAGTAGTAGGGGTAATTTTGGAGGCTGGTGCACAGAAACTTGCCTTATCCATCAAAGCATACCTCACAAACCCCTGCCATGTTTACCTGGCCCTGTACCTCTATCACCCACGAGAAGCTGAGCCTTGACTCTGTGCTGGCTGCCTCTTTCCTGGCATTGGTCTCAGAGACTGAGGGATGCTGCCAGAGAAGGAAGCCACAGAGCAGAGGGCTCCAGGTCGTTTCCTCTGGAGGCTGAGGCAACCCTGCTGTCAGCCTCTGTGGGCTTCCCCTGCCCCCGCTACTCCCTCTTCTGCTGCCTTCTCTCCTTCCTTTGAGCACTCTGTGCTCCTTTGTTCTTTTCCCTCTGGCTTCTACAGGAAAAAGGAGGCCAGCCCATCATAGCAAAAAGGCTCACATCTTATCAGACATAGTGGCCTCATGTCAAATTGCTTTCCTATAACTGACCTGACCTCTCCCCAGTTGACCATACAAGCAACACCCAACACTTGGATTGAAACATGTCACTCATTCTGCTCAAACCCTTTGATGCCTTTCATACTATTGATTGAATATTATTCATTTTGTTTGTTTTTACAATGTCCTCCTCCAGGATCCAGTCCCGACCTGTCACTCCAGCTAGAGTTGCTGGGACACTTCCTGCATGAATCACTACACTGAAGACACCAGTCATTTCCCACAAGTACCTGTGTTGAGCGACATGTGTCCTCAGAAGAGGGGACAATATGGCAACAGCCAATGCCATGGTTAACCCAGCAGCCCTGGCTGGCTGGACAAGTCTCCTTCCCTAACCCCTGCTGTGTCTGTCAGAGATGCTCCCTGAGGAACCTTCTAACTCCTCGTGTCATACTTCACCATGTTCTGCCCTGTATTAAAGTTGTTTGTGCCCTGATCACACCTCCCCCACTTCTGCCTTTATAAACCCCTGGGAGTAGCCATTACATCCTGCCCCAAGGTGCACTCCATCATCTTTATTGTATTGACTCTAAGCCTAAAGAAGAACAACTTTCCTGGCCTCCACTGAAGGGAACACCCCATTATCACCATGAAATCTGGTCACACTTGATTTTCGAGGATCTATCATGGGAGGATCCCAGTCATGGGGAAAAAATTCTCTAAGAGGTAATTGTAGTACTTTTTCTAAGGTTATTTAGTCTTTACCTGTTCAAAACGTGTAAAATAAGAAAATGTACATAAATATTTCTTATCTAATAAAAGTTAAATCATTAAATACCTTTTGGGCACCTACTTCATACAAACCACATGGTTTTTTAAATGAGAAGTTCTTCAAAGAGATAAGGTTGTAATGCACTGGAAATGCTGATCATTTTGTACCTTGTAACAAACCTGGTATCACCCTCTAAAGAGCTTTATTTCATCTGAAAACTGCAGAATCTGCCTCTGAAGTTCACAGGTAGGTCCAGCCACAATTAAGTATTTTATGCCACACAGACTGATGGCTTATACTTCTTTCTTCCTTCTTATACTTCTTTCTTCCTTCTTTCCTTCCTTCCTTCCTTCCTTCCTTCCTTCCTTCCTTCCTTCCTTCCTTCCTTCCTTCCTTTCTTTCTTCTTTCTTCTCTTCTTCCTTCCTTCTTTTTTTTGTTTTATAATTTCAAACTGCTTTCATGTCTTACATAATGAGCTAACTAGTTTATAGAGTTGATTAAGAGGACTTAAAAACTTGAGTAAAAAAGGCTTAAATTTTAAACAAGCTGACTAGCTTGTTTATAAATTAAATTAGAGGACCTCAAAGCCTTGCATTGGGTAGGAAAGAAACTCCCCATGATTTGCTTAAATCAATGTTGTTGTTTTTTAAAGGGAAATCTTGAACTCATTGTAATTCCAAGCTCAGAGGTATTCAGGACTGTGCATATCTTTCCTCTCCTAAGTCATTTAATTTCACAGTGTTTTCTTCCAATCTGATTGAAGTGTCTGAAATTGCTCATGTCTTCCCAACCAACTCAGATATAATCATTAGGCTGCTATTCAACGCCTGGAAGGCTGTTCTGAGTTGTCTCTCTGCTCATTTGCTTCTGCCAGCTGCTCCCTGTCTGCCTTTGATACAGAGCTATCCAAACCAGGAGACCAGAGTTTTACCTTTAGCTAAGGCTTTGCTATAAATCACTGCCCTTGAATGCTGAAAGAAATGAAACCCAAGTGGGAGAAACACCTCCTCCACCTTCATGCTCCAAAAGCCTCACTCACCTTTGGAGAAGACGGGGATGAGGAGAAGAGAAAGCAGAGCAGTACAGGGCCCAGTCCTAGACGCCAGATGCAGCAGAGCCCAAGGCCTCTGGAATCCACTGCAAGCCATGGCTTTATGGGAGCCGCACTCAGACCTTCAGGAAGCAGAGCGAAACCTTCCAGGACCCTGAATCTTTGACATGTGTTTGAACCCACACAGAATCAAGGACTTTATATAGCTGGCTTTGATCCCAGGTATGTACTACACATGTGCACATACAAAAGGCACCTGAATAGAAAGCCTTTTTGTTTTGGTTTTACGAGAAAGGAAGCCGTGGGTTTAGCTGTTACGTCGAAAGATAACCTCAAACACTCAGAGTAAAACTGAACAAAACAAGCCAATCCTTGGATGGAAAATGCACTCAGTTTGAAACTGAAGCCTCTTATTCACTTTGAGGATAACTGAATGGAGATGTGGAGAATTCCCTGGAGTGCAAGCATCTCCCTAAGCCCCAGTTTTATCTAATTGTCTGGGTATCTTTTACCACCCAACTCATTTCACTGACACCTCTAAAACTGCTGAGCTTCTTGTCCTCTGAGCCCTTGAGCTAATGATAGAATCAGTCTGTTGCCATCATTAATAAAAGCTCTGCATGCCACCTGTGAAGCACCATGCTTTACAGATAAGAGCTTATTTCAGCATTTTGAGAGAAAATACCAAAATCATAAGAAAGAAACTGACCTGCCTCTGGCTTTGCAGAGTAGGGAAAGAATTCAAGTGTTCTTAAGAGCCTTAACTCAACAAAGACAAAACAGAGTTGGAGAAGGTCCAGAAAAAGTCAACCAAAATGATTTAAGAGATTCAAACGTTCCATAAGAGGATAGATGTTTTTTCCCTAATGGGAATTTTTCAAACAGAAAATCCAAGAACTAAAGTTAAATATGACTGAAGTTCTTAAATTTGTGAAAGTTGCAGATAGGACAATGCTCATTCTATAAGAGAAGACTAACCATAGAGGAGCCCCCCACTTAAAACTGGGGCGTTTTCCTACATTTCAATGATGAGAGAAACATTTATTGAGAGTCTGTGATATGCCAGAAATTATGTACACTTAGGAGTGAATTGTGACAAGACAAAAGTATAATTGATGCCTTAAGGGACTTCCAGAAGACTGACGTGCAAACAGACAGTGAGGGCATGGATATGGTGTTGGCCTCGTCAGCCCTCAGTATGGCACAGGAAGCTCTGTAGAATATGGATCTATGCCCCTCATTTTAGCCATCTTCCAGCATTCATCACATGCCTCTTCCTCTGCTTCTTTCAGGCCTCATCACCTTTACCCACACTGTTCCTACTGCCTTTATCCTTCCTATCATCCTCCAGGAGTTAGTTAAGGTGTCAGCTCCTCCAGGAAGCCTTGCCTGAGGCTCTTTTCTATATTCCTCAGCACCTTATCTGAGCCTTCAAACCCCAGCTGAAATCAGCTGGCAATCACAACCCAGCAGGCACTTAATAAGGGCCAGATCCCAGGCTGGACACTGAAGACCCAGAAATGAAAAATGTATGCTCCTGCTCTTGAGAGGAACGCACAGCAGTGACAGGGGCAGACAGTTAAACCTGTGATCACGACAAGCGACGGAACTGGATTACTGCACAAGTCATAGAGGAACAGAAGCCATTGGCTCTGCCTGTGGAGGTCAGAAAGGGCTTCTCAGAGGAAGTAAAGCCTGAGCTTATTACTGAGGACAAGGGCAAGGGTGGGTATTAGTCGGAAAGAACAGTTTGTGCCTAACTGTTGGAAAGGGCACAAAATATTCATTAGGATCAGAGGACAAGGCTGGCATGGGGACCGGTAGTAGGTGAGGCTGATGTGCTTGGCAGCGAAGGCCAGTGCACCATAAGGAGAAGCTGGCATGACAACATGCACATCTAGGGAAATTCCCCCTCACAGGGGAGGTGGGAGTGGGAGACGGGTTCAAGGAGGACTAAGATCGAACCAGGAAAACCAGGAAGGAGACTATGGCAATACTCCAGGCAACCGGGAATTGGCACACTGTTTCTGTGAAGAAACAGACAGTAAATATATTAGGCTTTAGGCTTTGTAGGCCATTCAGTCTCTGCTACCATTACTCAACTCTGCTCTTATAGGGTGTGAGCAGTCACAGGAAATACATAAATGAATGGGCATAGCTGTGTTGTGAAACATTATTTATATTGTCAATTATGCCTCCATTAACAACTACAAAAAAAAAGCACATTTTTTACCAACACAGATGGAAGCTGGATTTGGCCAGCAGGCCATGGTTTGCCAGCTCCTGGATGTAAACTAAGGTAATGACAGCAGTGGTGTCAAGGTACCTCAGGGGACTAATCCACCAGCAGCAAGTGGATGCCAAAATTTAGGATTGTCCCAGATTTATGCTGCAGGAGGTATGGCAGCACTGCCAAGGGTTGTTCAAATGCTTGTCAAGTTTTATCTCATTCAAGTCTCGAAATAGCCCTACAAGAGAGGGATGATTTTTTCCCCCAATTTATGAAAGAGGAAACCAAGGCACTTAGAATGAAGAAGACTTATCCAATTGCCCAGAGTGAGCAGTAGAGCCACTCTGCTGGTGATGCTGTTAATCATGACACTAAAACAAAGGCTTTTGAAGTGAAAAGCCATGAAGACTTGCTAGCTATCGTTCTGGGGTTGAGAGTCCTAAATCCTCCAGAAAATGGTGCCTCCTTCTCAAGGCAATGCATGGATTAAATGAGATAATGCATATAGCATGTATAAAAGACCCATTAGGGTGGCTGGCCACTCAATAAATAGCAGTCCTTTTTATTATCAAGTCACCGGGAAAACAGAGTTGCAATTTACTGAAATAGAGAACATATGAAGTGAAGCTGATAAGTTTCATTTGGGCATGTTGAGTTTAAGGTATCCTCAGATGGTAGGGTGGAAAAACTCAAAAGCAGGTGCCAATATGGATCTGGAGTACAGGAGAAAGATCTGAACTAAAGATTAGTTTAGGCAAACACGAATGAAAATAGCATAATACGAACAGAAAACACGAATTAAAAAACACAACCAAGATACATATTGAGCACTCTATAAATATTGGTCAAGTGCATAGATAAATGAATGAAAACAATTTGACAGAAGAGATGAGGGTTCTAATAGGAACTTCCAAAGAAGTCTTACCAGGTCCCCTAATTAAATTCACACACATCATCCCATAGATGACTTGATAATTACAAAGGGGAAAAGATAATGGCTAAATCTAGCAGATACTGCCTTAACTAAGTGATCAAACTAAAGGTCACCCATGATGGGACATTCTGACACCATGCTTCCAGACACACATGCCTCCAGATACGGTGCATTAAAAGCATGCACCGCTGTAGTATTATTGGCAAAATTGTTTAAACTTAATCTAGTCATGAAAAAACAATTAGACAAATTCATATTGGGATCATTCTGCAAAATGTCTGGCCTTTGATTCCTCAAAAATGTTAATATCATGAAACATTAAAAAATAAAAAAACCTGGAAGACTGTTCTGAATTAAAGGATATTAAGGAGACATGATAGCAAAATCCAATGTGTGATCCTCGATTGAAATAAATAACTCTAGAGCACCATATTGAAACACCTGGGAAAATCTGAATATAGACTATATTTGATAATAGCATTGTATTAATGGTACATTTGCTGAGTGTGATCATTGTATGGGGGTTATGTAGATAAATATCCTAATTTTTAAGGAATATTTGCTTAAGTATTTAGGGAAAACATTTCAGGATGTCAGCAAATAGCTGTCAGATGGTTCAGCAAAAATACCTGTGTGTGATTGTTAGTAGAGGGAGAGAAAAAGAATAAAACAACAGTGACAAAATGTTAACATTTGGAGAATTCAAGTGAAGAGCATATCTATGTGTTCATAGTACTAGTCTTTTAAATTCTTCATAAGATTGAAATTTTTCAGAATGAAAAGCTGACAGTAAAAATTTTAAGGCCACTATTATACTGTAGGTGCTATCCCACAGATCAGAAAACTGAAATTTAGAGAGAGGAAATGTGTTGCCTAAAGTTGTTTTCCATTCCGCTTCCTCATATAAATTCTCCGCTTGGAGACAGACCCCGGTAGGTGGCTGGGTTCCCTGACAGGTTGGCTTTTTGGAGGAATCAGCTGATGGGAGGCACCAGCAGGTCGAAGGGCACCAGAGGAAGGTCAGGGTGTTTCTTCCCTGCTCTCTCCCACATGCAGGGCCCTGTCTCTCGCAGTAGCAGTAGCTCTGCACAGTGACAACTCTTGTTGGGTGGCCACCTTTTCTATGATGCCAGTTCTCGCTCTTTCTTTCCGTGATGCTTTCAGTCCTGGGAGTGGTATCAGCTTCCATGGTTGCTAGATAGTCTGGGTGTATTAAAATCCTCTGCACTTTACCCTCCTTAATATCTCTCAAAATAGTCCTTTCACTGATTTTCTTATTTGAACTACCCATTTTCTATAGTGTCCCTGATTGACCCAGTCCTATCACTGAAACGTGAAAAAAACTGGATTTAAATCCTAGTCTCATTCCCACCCAGTATTTTTTTTCCATTATCTCATGTCCAACAATAACATTTTGTATCACACATGTATTTATTACAGTATTTATGTTTTATCATACTGCACTTATTAGAGTCCATCATGTGCAGTTATGTCCCTCCTATTTCAAATTCTATTTCCATGATACTTCACCCTCACCCCACACATAGCATCTAATTAGAACCTCCTTTGTATATAACAAGTGATGGAGAACTTCCACATTTTGATTTAGGTTTCAATCCTTTTTATTTCTCTTACATCTCATTTCTAGCTCTGGGGGAAGTATAAAAGTAAGGATTCAGTCAGAGGACTGAGAGGCCCTAATGAGCCCAGGATAGTGATTAAGAGCATGGTTGGAATGAGACAGACATGACTTCAAATCCTGATTTTTACTGTTTACTAGATGTTTGGGATCTTGTAGTGCTTTTTTAACTTCCCTGATCCTCAGTCTCCACACTTGTAAAGTCTGGTTAATTATGGTAACTATCTTACAGAGTTTTGTGATGATTCAATGAGACTATGAAAATGTTTTGAAATGCCAAAAAATATATTGAAAACTGTCTAGAGCATAGTATGTACTCAGTAAATGTTAGCTTATTTATTAATTTTGGAGAAAACTATGGATCTCAAAACTTCAGCTGTTATAAATCCCTTCTTTCATTATCACC